ATCCTAGGAGGAGAATAAGGGATTGGTTCTTGGCATGGTCCGGAGTCCAGTCTATGCACAGAGGAGCATAACGAATGTAGTACCCTAAGACTTCCCACCAGGTAGAAGACAGCAAGTAAAGCTGAATACATGTATTCCAGTGAATACAAATTAATTGAGCCTGAGCATGGCCCAAACTCCAGCCCACGCCCACAAGGACCGGACGGATCATAAAATAACCGCCAGACATCTGTTGGTCACGCTCAAATTATCACAACAAATACCAAAGAAGTTGTAAGACTTGCAGCCGACCACATAGATTTTGTTTTTCAAAACAAGCAAGGTATCACGATAGCAGTCCCTTTTTTCCTTAATGTGTAGTGGAAGTTGGCGCGTATCTCTACGACAATTAAGAGTGCGTTACTTCGCTATACTGACATACCAAGCATGCTTGTATTATAAGCCGTAGCCAATTGCAATGTTTTTTATTTAGCTGACCTAAAAGTACGTTAGACGCATTATGCTGGCGTTCGAGAGAGATTGTTGTGCCTTTTCCATAATAATGCTGCTAAATCTACTTACATACCGTGTTGCATGCTCAATAAAACATTTTTAAGAGAAATATTTAAAGTGGAGGGCGAAGTGCACGATCTTGAGAATGAGGAGGGATTCGTTTTCTGAACTTCTGCAACAGTCGTTGTAAATTTTCATGGTTTGCCATATTTAGAATAAAGTGAAAGACGATAGTTATTTCCTGTTTGGGTGTTTTGCTGACTTTTTATTTAATAAGATATTTGTTTTCATAGATTGCTTCGACTTTTACTAATTGTTTGAATTCGCTGTAATATTGGGCGCGTATTATTGAAAGCCGGAATTGTTTAAGTTTTCTCTGGTAGTGAGACTCGATTTGATGGTGCAGATATCCTTTTTTGTTAATGGAAACGGCTAATGCTGAGCGACCTATAAGTGGCACCTATGAGGCAAGTAATGAAAATGAATCAGATATTCAACTGCCTCTGTCGGTTGGATGCTCCGAGAAATCTTCTTATGAACAGGGCTCTCCTCCAATTTGTTACGTTGAGCTAGGTGGTCATAAACCAGTCGAGTCAGATTTTAAGGTTTGTCGACTCTTCACCTTGTAAATCATCCATTTGCATATTAGTTTTTAAGCTGTGTAGAATTAAGTAATTGGGTGTTTTATTTCCGTTATTGCTATGGTACTATTATGCCTAAAGGTTGAACTAAGTTGGGTTTATATGCCGTAACCTCTGTTAGGAGCAGCAGTCTCCTGCTGACTCTCACCATTGCGGTTCTCCTCCCGATTTATCCCGAGATGCTACAGTTTCCAAAACTAACGAAGCTAATAAGGCGGATCGTCCACTTTTCAATGTCGTCGTTTTGAACTCTGCTGAGCAGTCTAGCTTTATCACCAAGGATGGAGATACTGATGAATGTACTCCAATTATTCCAGCCCCTGCTGAGTGTGTCGTCTCATCTTCTGTCGTTCAGGTTAGTTTCAGGTTTGTAAACACAAATATTTGGGAATTTTGTGAATCGTAGAGTTCAGTTGCTTTCCATTGTTTGCAAATTTAGGGTCAGAAAAATACTACGACGACCTTGGTTCCTGGTCCAATAATAAATTGCCCTTCCAGTGATAAATCTGAGAATACACACGTGGTTGTTGATATAGAGAAGGAGGCAATGGAAATTGATGACGACGACGATGTTGACGATCGGCCCTTGGTATTAGATCTTGGCGAAACTGTCAACACTCCTTCCCCGGTGGAATCTCCTGCACCTCGTAAGTTGCTTCTGTAAATCTTTAGCTCTAACTCGAAAGTGTTTACCCACTAAGTGTCTCATTGTAGCTGTTGTGATTGTTTCCGAGGAGGCGTCAGGTTCATTTAGGAGACCCCCTCCTCCGCCGAAAGCCCCGCCCAGAATGACTCCCAAGGTGTCTTCAGTTGTGTCGACTACGTCTGCCGCAATTACAATCACTTCCACTCCCGCCCACCGTGTACAAAAACCCATCCGTCCTTTCATACCCCAACATTTTAACTCGTGCGTTTCTTATTGGGATTTAAACTTTTATACGTGAATAGCGTTAGACAAATTCGGTACATTCATACTTCCTGTCATTGTATCCTACTTTGTGGAAAGTTTTTTTCATCCTCTCAAACAGTGAAGTACGGTATTTATCGACTCGTCCAAATCAGACAATCACTTCATTTTATTTAATTACCTTCTCGCTTTGTAAGGCTTTGGGTTAAGGTATCGCCAGGTAGGTTGTTGAGGTACCCTATTGCACTACTGTTGCTATTGACGGCATAGGTAACTGGCCATTTCATTCACGAGCATGAGAAGTAAATTTGCCGTTTAATTTGGAAATTGTGGGGTCGGTCGAGATTTCACTTTAGACCGTGATAAGAGTGCGTGCTTCCTACTTTGTGTTACATTCTGTTCGAATTCCGTTGGCCATCTTTTAACGAACCACGGACACCGCGGTTTGGTTGCTGTGCTTTCTTTCCTGTAATCCCTCCTTCAATCAACTATTACTGCGGAAATTTAACTCGAGGTATTTTTATTGACAATTACTTGATTAGTTTTGAGGCGCTCCTGAAACTGTGTCAGGCGCGTTACCATTTCGATCCAGGCGGAGATAAAAATCATAAGCTAAGGAATCAGATTTGCAGCTAAAATAAACATCAGTTGATTGGTCTCCGTCCTTTTACAGACTTGAGGGCAGCAGCGGTAGTCACGTGTCGACCACAGGGCCAGTCAACTCGACATCAGCATCGCATCATCTGACTGCACCCTCTCTCGCAGCGGCGACAATTCGATTACAGACACTTCCCGCACAGCCACCGCCTCTGCCTCCGCCACCTGGACCGTCGACAGCTTCGGCTGCTCCAAGCCCTCAACAGACCAACGGTGTACAGTTTATGTCCGTCCTCACTCCGCCTCCCTCTGTCTCCAATGCGGTTTCACCCTCGCCCATCCACCTCTTTAATCTTGCTGCTATGCCTGGCTATCTCAGTGGGTCTTCGCTTTCTTGGATTGTTTATTTTTTTGGAAAGCACATCTACTGAGTATAAATTGTTGTTGTGCTTGTCTAAGTCATCAAATTGATTCTTTATTTTGTATCGGTGTCGGCATTGGATAGTCCATCAGTAGGTTGTCTTGCTACGCTTAGTTTTTCCATTGAGTTAACTCTATATCGTGTCTTGACTGAGTCACACGGTGCTCATCATCAGTAAAACTCATTGATTACCTCAATGTAGCTTAATTAGGAGACCGTATTTAGCGAATAGCATGGGTCGTTCCTGTGCTGACTCCTCAGTGAGCAACTGTAACACTATTATCCCATCGCCATTCCTTCATCGGTTTTGATGTTGGCACTCCTTATCACTGAATTGTTGCAGTTGGATGATCATATCGGTGCTCTACTGAGTTATCTCATGTTTGCTTAGCCTTTATTAGGCACTCAATTCTTTTATACAAGGGCCATTGTTTCATTTGACATTTGGTCGTAATGCAATAAACTTGTGTTAGTATGCATTTTTATGCTATAACAGGAGACTGGAGTGGGGAACGGGGGAGGAGAGTTTCGGGAACTGTCTCTCATCCCTTTCAGTCAGTTTTCCATCTTGTCATATTTTTACGTTAGGTTATTTTTCATAGTTAATCGCACTCTATTTACAATAAGTGTATTCACTTCTCGACCTCCAGATCCTCCACGTGACGCACAGCTAGCTCATTCCTGATCAGGGGTACCGAAATTGGCTGTTAGAAGAGTGCTTCTCACTCAATACATCGATCCACGTACTGTGTGATTGTGTGTGCACGCGCACACGTCCTCCAGCTAGCCACACCCTCGAGCTCTCTGTTCTAATTTCATCATGAAATCCTTTTTTTGTCATAAATAAATGCGGTTTTTTTAGTGGATACATCTTACCTTGTGACTTAGCATTAACAACCATAACGAAGTGATACCACAGGAATATGAGGCGGTAGAGGGAGTGGCTTTTTAGTAACCCATTCCTCTTCGACTAGGATTGAAAATAATCCATTTGTCTGAAGACGACATAAGTAATTCTACTAGCATCGGTTTGTCGTCCTCGTGGAGATGGAAGAGCTCTTATTTTTTGCCAACTCTAGTCTACTTTATCCTCACTTATTTCTATTACATCTCGCTGTGATTTGGCATTTGTTGGTTGTGCCATTTTGGAGAAATGCAATTGCATCAGTGCGCTTAATGATTGTCGATCGTTATGGTTGACTAGGCGATCGTTTCCTTCTTAGCAACTCGTCTTGATCTATATCAGGATATGGGAATACAAAATCAGACATTAACCTCCTCTTTCATTGTCATCAATTCGGTGATTTTCTCCACCTATTGCCTTATTTTGCTACGATTTTAATCCGCTCTGAGTGAATCTGAAGTAGGCGAATTTATTCTCAAATTGACTTGTTTTGGTGTTACATCATTTTTGAGCATGGGGATTTCAGGTATTTTGAAACGAGTTGATTGTTTGCGTCTACCTATTTAGACACAGCGTCAGGTGTCCTTTTTCAATCAATACCATCGACCACAGTGACTACCGGAGGAGGAGGCGGGGGAGGAAATCACAATACAGGTCCTGGGGGGTTCCAGTTCACTCCGCCACCTCCGCCGCCTCCACCTCCACCGCCTTTGTTCGCTCCACAGGCCTTCCCCCCACCTCCGCCGCATTTCGCTCGTCCCCCTTCTAACCTCTCTGCCCCTACTGCTAACGCTCCAACAGCGGGAAGTCTCCCTCCTCCGCCGCCACTGGCTCCCGCACCCGGCCTCACCTCTGTGCAGCACACTGGTGCCACGCGCACTCCAGTGAGTTTTTGACTTCATTAATATTCTTCTAGGGTTTTCTTCATTTCGCTCAAATTGGCTGTCATCATAAATGTAAGGGTGGTGGACACTCCTCGTGGAATCGGAACTGATTCCTTAACACGTTTACCTCCCCATAGTATAACACTGAAGTAATCGATTTTGAGGGTCAAGACGGTGAATTTGGGAGGCTCATTAACTAGTATTTACAACTTTATTGCTCTTCCTGAACTTAGATATGGAATAGAGAAATAAAGCTGCGAAGAAGTGTGTTTTTTTGTCCGATTCACTTATTATGTTGGCTTTATTTGTCGTTTATATGCTGATTCAATTATTTTTAACTAATAATGAAGCTTGTGAAGTAGTAGAATTGCAATAATCAGCCTTTTTTAAACGTTCTTTTGTCGAACCGGATTTTTGCTTGAAACTTCAGACTGCAACACTACAGGCATCAAGTAGGTTGGTCGTTTGGGCGTTTTAATGCCTCCCCTTCAATCAGTCTCAATCAATCAATAAATTGTAAATGCTGTCTCGTAAATTTAGTTTTGACGTCAGAATAGAATTGCCGAAAAGCTTCGGTTATTGTTTGTTCGTTTGTTCCAGATAGAGCGTAGCAAACCTCGTTCTCTGTAGTTTAATGGTTGATAACTCCAGATGCCTCAGCTGACAGTTTGTTACAGCTAGGCTTTCAACTCCAAATTGACAATGTTTTACTTGTGTAATTGATGGAAGTGAAACTCGTACTTATTGGCTCCCGAGGTGAGTTTCACCTCCACTTCTCTTGTGCCTTATTTGCGTCAGGCTTTCACACCGCCTTTGCGGTAGCTCATACGTCCAACAGTTCGGATTCTTTTTTAAAGCTAATGCGGTCGGCAAGATAGCTGACCTATCTGTTCATCTACTTAAATTGAATGTAGGTTGCCGGTCTGTTTATTCCTGACGTGAGTACTTGGATGGCGACTGTGACAGGAGCGCAGTCGATCCCTCCTCTTCAACCTTTGTTCTCAGGCCAACCCGCCTCTCTCACCACGGCGACAATCTCTAGTGGTGAAGTGATTTACTCTACAGTTGTGACAGCCACCACTGCCGTAGCTACCACATCGTCTATCACTGCCACCACTACTTCCTCTTCCTCCGTCTCCAACCGTCTCACAACTGTTCAATCTAGTCCTTCAAGCTTATCTTCAGCAGTGAGTTGAAGTCAATCGTCTAGTATGGGACATCGATTTACATGCTTATAATTGCGTTTGATTCGATGTTTCTTGCTTTTAGAATTCGTTAAAAACTGATGGTGAAAAGTTGCCAACACCAACGCCAGTGAATGGCGGTACGACATTTGCCAGTTTATCAATACCAGCACGACGTTGGAGGCCGTCGCTTGGTCGAAAATGCTCGGTGACTGCAACGATTAATTCTGGTATCATTACCGGCATGTGCAGTTCGAAAACCACGGTTGACAAGGCTCTTACCAATGTAGCTTCCCCTCCTGCCGTAGTTTCAACGGCAACATTGTCTACGGCTTCTACAGCGACGGTATCGATATCTTCCATGGCTAATTCTTCGGTTACGGCAGTGGAAGCATTGGTGTCAAAGGCTAGAAACACGGTTCACGGTCTGTCTCGCAAGAGGCTCCACGAGGAGTCATCGACAAGACGAAGAGATGCCAATGTGTCTATGACCAAGTCCGAGGCCGTGGACAGTGCAGTGCCAAAGGAGAAGGTGGAGGATATGGGGAAGGAGATAAAAATTAAGAATAGGATCGAAGTGTTTCCACCACCCCTCTCAACAATGTCATCACTTTTCCCTTCTCTGCCGCCACCACCACCACCGCCACCACCGCAACCAAAGTCCAGGGCACATCCTCCAAAGAGAGCTATGCAGCCATTATTGTCTTCTGCACCACCAGTTACACAGTTCACGGCGGAACGCAAAATAATTTCCCATTTCATTGATGGTCACGTGTTGTATGAGAGCAATCTGCCGTTTCCTGTGAGTTCATTTCGAGATGTAATGGAAGCTAGGTAGGAGGTGCTTGCAGTCTATAGGTATTTTCTATATTTATTGGTTGTCTCCTGTTAGTTCGGTGTTTACTAAGGCATCATTGAAAACCGGTGTATGCTCTTGTTGTGGGCCTAGGAAGATCTGTATTGTATGGTGAACTGTAAGAACAATTTGTCATCATCGTAATTTTGATGTTCAATGAGTTTTTAAAATACAACTTCTTGATAAAACTTCTTTCTGTTTCGTAGGTGCGTAATGCGATGGCGGTTGTGCGTGCAACGCTGAAATGCAATGGAGACGCTAAATCCCATGAAATTGTGTCGTCGGAGTCCGTCCACTTCAATAACCATGATCAGAGAGATGCAAAGCACGAGGAATCGAAAGCAAATGGCACTGCGAATGGAGAGTATTTACCCGTTGTAACAGCTTCCGAAACCACAATCCGTCGGAAGCACTCGGTCGGGTTGTTACCAGGTAGTTATCGAAAACGTCGCCTTTCCAAATCCGAAGTGTTGAAGAGTTGTGATACTGAGAGAAGTATGGAAGCGGTGGTCGAGGATGCGGTGATGGAAAAGAAGAAGAATAAAAAGTCGATATCAATTTACACTCCTCCTTTCGTTGCTACCGGTGAAGACGTTGGATTGGTGTCTACTCAAAACGGTCACAAGGAGCTTTCCGTCAGTGATAACCACTGTAAGCTCGAGTGCAAGTTTGGAATATTTAAATCCATTAGTCTGAAAGTCGTTTAAATCAGCAGAGTTACCTTGTAATCTGCTGTTTTTTGAAATTTCTTTTAGCCACTACGAATTCGAAAATGAAGGGAGAGGAAGCAAAAATGGCTGCTCAGATCCCAATGAAGGTGATGACGACAACGAATTTAAACTTGTCCGGTGACACTAATCCTGCTGATGCTGCTTCAGTATCTGAGCTAACGGCAACGGCGATTATCACAACTACGATAACCACGACCACGACGACCACCACCACTACTGGGGCTCCCACCGGCAGCGTGGGTAGCGGTTTAAAGATGACCATTCATCCCGTTTACCAAAATAGTGGTGCAGCATCTCAGGCAGTAGCGAGGACATTGACACCAACAGCAACATTGGGCGGCATAACATCTCCTTTAACTACTAAGTCAAACGCTATTTCTCTACCTCTACTTCCTGCTGTATCTACGCCATCTTCTTCCACAGCTTCGGTGAGTGGCCCCTTGGAATGATAGGCCATCTTGATTAGCCAGTCCAATGCACCCTTGAAAGAGGTATCCTATTAAAGAGATTGAAACATTGATACTCGTTGGTTAGACGTGTAGAATGAACTAATCAGACTAACTTTTCTGCCTTCAACCTTCCAAGATGTTTGTATTTAGGAAGTAGGACTCTCAATTTCTACGTTTTGTCATAGTCGATTCCATCTCCGACCACCTCAACAACATTGCAATCCCATCACACCTCGGTTGCCAAACCATTGATGTCGACAGCGGCGACACCGGTGGCAACGCATACCTCCAACAGCAGCAGTAGCAACGGTGGTAGCATGCGTCTACAGCAACTACCTCCTCCTCTACGTAAACCGATGAAATTGTGGTCTCCTAGCCTGGTGGCAGAGTTTGTGCGTGGCACGCCAAGCTGCTCTACCTACGCGGATGCATTTGTAGAGAATGAGATTGATGGAGAGGCTCTGCTTCTCCTCACACCAGCTCACTTTATTGATGCACCGATTAAAATGAAGATTGGACACGCATTAAAACTAGCCCATCGAGTACGGCAAATTGTCGATCCTACGTATGACTCTTCCGTCTCTGCCGCTCCCATCGGTGGAAGTAGCGCGGGTAGTGCTGTATGACAATATTTGGCCCCCTTGTTCACTCCTTCTATTTGTGTTCTTCCCTCACTCCTTTCCGATTCCTTCCCTCTTTTGCGTACCTATCTGACAATTTCTTGCTGGCTCGGTTCCTCCCTGTACAAATGAAGATCTTCAGTCTCCGTTTACTTGTACATTAATGGGACTTTCTCGAAGCAGCTGAACCGTTTTGGGGGGAGGTTTGGACAAGTATGTGGGTTAGACATGCCATTCCTCCTCACGTTGTGAAGAATGTGCTTAGTTTTGAAAGAGGAGATTGGTATACGGGAGGGCTAAAGTTCCTCATGCTTCTTTGGCTGTCTCAATGCTTATAACATTTGGAAGACGATTTTGGCGTAAGAGGATCTGCTGGTCGAGAGTAAGGATATCAAGCTTATGATCAATGATCGGTTCCATTGTTGACGGGGCTTCAAAGCTCACAGCTAATAGTCAAGGCTGAGGATGTCGTCAGGATACCGGTGAAATTTGTGGAAACGGAAGCTAAATGCCAGGCCAAATCAAGCTTTCTTCTTCTGTGTTGCCCTACCGCGAATATCCTCGTGGTTGCCCTTCCAGCCACACCTATCGTTGGGTACCAGTTGTTCACTGTCTTCGCCTGCCAACTTGGTTTTGTTAGAGGAGGACTATCTTTACTCACCAAGCCTTGAAACGTTTTTTGCTCTCTTCTTTCTGCCACTTGTGTTCGTGTGATGGCAGCATAACGCACACTCGAGTCACCATTCTCGACGTCCATAAGTTCCTTACGAGCCTAATATAGTGCTAGGACCACCTTTTCGTGGCTCAGGGTTGACACTTTCAAATTGTCCAAATCCGATTTCGATTTGTGGGACGCCCAGTTAGTTCTTCCCTTGTGAGGGTCTTTAGTTTTGCGCGATTCACAAAATGCACCCTTCTGCTTTGCAGCTATCACGAGGATCATTGAAGCCCTGCCTTTTTTGGTTTTCGCGTTTACACGAGGAGATGTAACGCGATTGCGTCGACAACCCACTCATAAAAAGTGATGTACTATCGTGTCAGCGGCTGGCATACATTCCGGAGTGGTTATGTTGGCAGATGACATTGTAGGAGGCTTATTTATGGTTGTGGCGACCTCCTCCGCATCGCCAGTTCATCAATTCCAGTGGGCACTGTAAGTGCAAAATGACCTCCATGCGACGAAAGTAAACAAGAGACCAGATGGCTGTTAAGGTAGAATTTGAAGGCTTTAAATGACAGGAACAGAGAAGATAGGATCGCTGACCGCCTTTTTCACAAAGGCTCTTCCAACTTGGCGATGAAATCTTCATCACATCGTTGGAGTTCTACGGAAGCAACTAGAATTGTGGAGATGGTTAACGATTTCCAGGCAAAAATGAAGAGAACACTCAATGGTAGGCTTTTTGAAGATCCATTTTTACTATTCTTTTTGAAAGCCCAGCAATGTTTCAGTCTGATGCGACCTTTTTGTGAGGTCAACGCGTTCTCCTCTTCCTCTTCCTCCTCTCTACTTCATGAAAAAGTGATTGATGCATTTCATTTGGAGGAATGTGAGGTAAGTAGAATCTGGAAGTAGCGTCAATGATTAGTAAACAGTTATTTGCCAAATAACAAGCCAAAAAGCCATGGATGACCCTTTGAGCACTAAAGAATGGCTCATTGACATCAGTAGTTTACTTGACAACGCTTAGCACGCTTGAATATTAACCAAGGGGAGGACTTTTGGGATCGGTTACAATGGACATGCAATTTAAGGCCATGAACACGTTACGCCAGAACAGCAGATGGCAGTAATCTGCACAAATTGTCGATTTGTTCTTCTCTTCGTGTTATCGAAATGCGTTGTGTATTTTACGACTGACCGACCCACTGGTTGGGGATGGAAAATAGGCTTTTGTGCATCACCATTTGTTAAAGCCAGCTATCATGTTATTGGTTGCTCCAAAGCGATTCGCCCACCACTCCTTCGCCCTTGCATCTGTGGTACATTGTACAAACGATTTACACTAACCGTTGTTTACTTCCCTAACATCGGTCACCAGGTTTGACGGTGGAAGGGTCGAACTTTTGCTAAAAAAGCCAAGCAAAAGAGCAACGTACGCTTGAAGTAGACTTTCGTCTCTTTCTCCTCAATTTTTGGGCCACAAAATGGTTGATGGGTTGGGCAAAATCACCTCCGTATCTCCGTGGTGCTACTTCGCCTAGTCCTGATTGTCACCTCCTTTTAACATATGCAATTCCCATGTTTGCAGGACAGTGAGTCAGAAACGGCAAAAGGTGAAATGGGGAAGGCTCTTTCATCATTGCGAGATGATTTGGCAAAGCGGACGATTAGCTGCATAGATTATCCACCAGCCTAGCTTTGACGGCGGTGTGATAACTAAGCGTTACAAGTCACAGTCCAATCCCTCGAACGAAGGCAACAGACGCAACAGTCTCTTTAGCGTATCCACCATACTTTACTCAATCTTGACGGCATTTGCCTAGTCTGAGTCGCCTGAGTCTATTCCATGTCACCATTCCTCCTGTCTGAGTTGTATTTGCGAGCTCACCGGAAGTTGACCTCATAATTATCACACTAATCAATTTACGCATGCCATCTGTCACTCTTTTAGCTGTCAATGGCTTAGGTGATGTATACTTGCCTTGATAAGCCTGAGTGGTCTCCGGCAGTGGGTGAAATGAAAAAAATGCTAACAATACGCCTCCATGGAGGAGGCAGACTATGAAATCCGCCTTATCGTGTGCTGGGAGGAAGTTGACATGTGAATACTGAAGGAGGCCGAGCTGTCTGCACTAGTAGGGGATCATTAAGGCCCAATTTTACTAGTAATTTTACTGCCGATGTCGGTAACTTCTCTTTCATCTCATGTTCCCTCGCAGGAATCCTAAAAGCTGATGTTAGTCCAAGGTGCAGACCTCGAAAGAAGATGACCAAACACAAAGTAAAAGGAGTGGAAAAGAGGGAGGGGAACTGCTTTCTTGACTCTTTTGTTCCCTCTGGTCTCGTCTGTAGGTCTCATAAAAGGCATACCTTACTAGCTGTTGATCCATTAGTGCTGAGGGAGAGAATGATGTGCCTCCACACCTCTGGTCAACTTATCTTTATACAGAAAGGACTTGTTGGGGGTGGCTTAATTCATTGGGACAATGTCCCTGGCCTCAACTCGTCCTCCAACGCATAGTAAAGGCAAAAAAATGTCACAGATATCGTTGCCTAATATAAAGCTAATGCATTGTTTCATCCTTCTTCTAAAAGTTGGCAATTTTTCAGGGTTGCTTACATTAAGGAACGAAATCTATCCATACGTTCTTCATTTGGTCTTATCAGGGACTTCTTCGCCTTCTCCTCGACCCGCTGTTAAGGCTATCCCCTTCCGTCTATCAAATGACTAAACCAGTGAGTTGTCGGCAGAGAGAGCTGTGATTTAATTCCATACATTCCATGACCTGTTCTTTTTGTGGATCAGTTGTAGTTTTTGTGTCCAAAGGGTGCAAATGAGACATGCAAATCGTTCTGTCCTGAGGCGAAAACATGAAGTAGTCTTGACAACAAAGCGTTGTACAGGTGTAAAATCTCAGTTTACACCACAATGTGTGATACTAACAAGACATGAAAGTACATTAAAACCGCTAATTTTTCGTCTGCTCGTGCTGTTAGCGCGTGATCAGGCCAGCGAGCTGCCCAGTCGCTAAACCATTTCACCGTCATCTGTATAGCCAGTCGCTTTAGAGTAAAAAATTGTTTACATTTTGAATATAAAGTGACTTTTTTGTCATGGTGATGCTTCTCGAATGCATGCCGACCAGATGGCAGATGACACAATTTGCTTCAAGAGTGTGGAATGGTCAAGAATGTGCTCTCTCAGTACTTAACGTCACCCCCTTTTCACAGCGAAAATGTTGGATAGGGAACCAAATCACGATTGACACTTCCAACCTTCGATGCTTCCTTTTTGACAATTCTAACAAAACTGGTTTAACAGCGGTTCCGTGACCAACGCGCATGTCACATGTTGTTTTATCCACAAATGAGTCAGCAGAGATTGGCCTTATCTACATTAACGGTCGTCAATGTGACTGTGAAGCCAACACTCAACTCAAGAAAAGAAGAGAATCCCGAGCGTCATCGCCGCCCTCCGTACGCGCAATCAGTGTCGTTTGCTCATTATCCTGAACTCACGGGCTGACTTTGTTTAATCAAACACAACTGCATTGTTGGCGCTGTCGCGTTTTGTTCTATCTGCGAGGTCACAGGTGCCAGTAAAACAAAATGAGTTTCCGAACTTGCGATGTAACAGATTAACAGGGCCGTATCCATTTGTCTCTGCAAGGTTCCATCAGTCTAATCAAACGTCTACCCGACCTGCGATGTCAGTGAGAGAGGTCGTGGTGGCAGGCTTACTATCCGCCCTTTCACTCCCCGTATCCCGGAGGTAGTAGGCTCATTGTGGTTTCCATTGTGCTCTCCAATTTCTGCGGCGCTAGTAGATCCCCTTAGCCTCCCACTTACGATGAATTCTGGAGGGAGTCTAGCATATAATTGGTATTATTGCGCTTCTACGAATCAAAGTGTCACATTTGAAACTAAAACGGGTGGACATGACAGAAGGCGTTGATTTACACATACTAATCATTTCCTTTAAGTAGGAACCTTCAAAACGAAATTCTGGCATCTTTAACCGAATGTGTGAAAATAGATTGATTGCGCTGATGAGTTGAAATGTCGTCCTGACGAGCTGTCGATTTCATACTTAAGATGCTTGATTGGCGAACAAGGCATTCGCCATTCAGTTTTGGTCCAAAAAGCCGCATGTCATTTTTCGTAACATAACAAACAAATCGACACATGACAAAACTCTTTAGACAGTCGCGTTATCCCAGCCGAATCTTAAATAAGCTCATGCTTAAATACAGCAGGCAGTTTTGGGTCTCCCATCTTTTTAAACGAGTAGACAAAGGAATAAAAGTATCCGCGTACACCAACAGAGTCTGATGGACAGACAGAAGTTGCAGGTCCTCATCCTCTCACAGATGAGGAAGATGGACGCAAAAAGGAGAGCAAGAGTGGGAACGGGAAGAAGGCAAGAAAAGTGAGGTGTCAGGCTCGCCGTTTCAGATCATGCTACCCAGAAAGGATGCGATAAAGCTGGAGGGAGGAAAAGTGGTTGACGGATTGTCCGCCAATTTTAACACGCGGATAGCAAATTTCGCCGCATGTCCAACTTTCATGCATAACGGTGGTTCGACAAAATGCGAGAATTTGAGGAGAATTAGAGCCTCGCCGTCAATCTCATTCGCCTCGAAGGCCGCTGCATAGGGTGCACAGTTCGGCGTATCACGCAGCAGTTGTGCAACCTGAGCCACAGTCCACGTCTTCACTGATCTGCTCAGTGGTGGCGGCATTTTTGGTACACAACGTTTTGAACGCAATACGGTGATGCTACTGACGTCCACATTCGCCACTTTGGTCCCCAACACTTTGCTGGCTAGCGTAGGAGAGACGTCTGCTCGCGCCGTTCCTTCTCCTTTAGAAATTGTCTGTAAAATATGCAAGAGAAAAAGGCAACTACATTGAAAATTTGCACCAGTGACAAACGTCTTAAATTGACATTTAGAAAAACAGACCAAAATTGTGAACATTTGACAATGCATACTTACGGCACGAGAATGCGATGGAGGAGAGGTGAGCAAAGCTTTGCAGGATGAAGAAAGTCTGGACACCGGCTTGGCGGTTGATGGAGATGGTTCAAGATTCGTCTTCTTCGATTCCGACGTAGTTGCTTGCTCAAAGCTGGTCTCTTGGGAGGCCAAGTAACCGGTCTTTGCTGTGTCATCACCAATACTCGAAGCATTGACAAATGCACCTTGAGTTTCCGCAGACTTTGTTGGAACTGCAGTTTCATCTGACGAAATGGGCATGCATTTCATACTCGAATCTCCTAACTCAGTGGGACCAACATCCACCGCCCTCCTCTTCCGTGAGGGTACTTTGACAACTTTATAAACAAAATCAAATTTTGTGATCATATTACGGTATTTGGAGGAGTCTCTGTTAATAACGCTGTAAAATTTAAAGATAATATCATAGAAATTCAATGCGAACTTAACATGATCACCAGTTTCTGATTATACAAATTCCTCACCTTTTTGATCTCCTGTCGGAATGGTCATTTTCTCTCTGTCGCCCATGCCAGAGGCATGGATTTTTGACGCCTTCTTGTGTTTCCTCTTCCTTCCCCCCTTTGAAGAAGCATCTAATCGTGTCACTTCTGGACGTACAACCTTTGCATCGATGGGGCTCTTGGACACCATTCTGCTAGATTGGCTTCGTGTTCGTGGACTTTTATTCGATGTACCCTTGATTGTAGGGTCATGACCGGGTGCTTTCCTTGAGATAGCAGAATTCGAACGCACCACAGGTGAAAAAGATGTGCCAGACCTTAGATTACGGCTACTGGATGAAAGCGGATGGAAGGAGGACTCGTTTCTTCCATTTCTCCTCCTTCTGCGATTTTTTCCCATTTTTCTGCAAAGGCTTATGGTAAAAGAATGTTCTTCGAAACGTAAGGAAAGATATAATTTTGGAAGTGATGTCGACGTTCCATTTTGGAGTGCTCATTCTGACCACCTTTTGTAGGTTCCTCTGACTGCAACTCTGAGAATTTAACTCATCACTTATTTAATCACCTATTTACTCACATTCTGAATACTTGGAATCCTGCTTGGAGTGGAGGTCTTCAGAGCTGCAATTTTAGCACCATGCTCAGCAGTCTAAGTAAATGAGTCTGGAATATGAGCTTGAAAATTTCAGCGTTTTCTTAGATGAATGTTTTAGCTTTTCCATAAACTAGTAGTCAAAAAACTTCATCGTCCGCAATCCGGCATCCTATTTCACTTCGGCAGTAATTACTGAATGCCTACTTAATTGTTATAAGTAGCGCAACTTGCGGTGAATGATTTCTATCTCAAATTCTTGCACATTTCTGACATTAAGTCATCTCTTGAGGAAAAGAAGAGTAGAAAAAAACACTACGGAAAACACAATGCAAACAAGCATTTATAACTTACAATTAGAGCTCATTAATACTTAAATGTGGAATCTAATATTGATGAAACTACTCCGCCATTCAAAAGTAGGGCACATATTCATTATTTTCACGCGTTTAAACTCCAACATTTAAGCTTGAGAAAATGAAAACGGGAGACTACATCTTGGCACGTGCGTAAACTGGGGTCATTAACTCTGACTAATTAATGCGCGTATTTTTTGGCAATTCTGTGCTTTGGCTTTACTTAAGTTAACAAAATCTGGCGCAAAACTTATTTAGCAAATAAGTTTTCCCATTTTAATGGTAAAACAGTTGTAAAAGGCCCGCTTAGATTTAAAAAGGAATTTTAATTTGCTCCAGATTTTCGCAAGGCCTAATAAAAGGGAGATGTGCTAACCGCCAAAATTTCAAGTAAGCAGGCGAATAAACCATTTACATTAACTTCTTTCTCATTTATGCTGGAACGCAGACAAGGAGGAGCTCTGCAACTTTCTTAAGTAGTGAGGGCGGAGTGGGCGGGAAGGACATGTAGTAATGCTATACCTCTTCGCTACCAAAACTGAGAGTCCAATAATGGGGCCCTTACATGCAATTTACTCGTAAAGGCACATCGCATAACATTTCTTGCCAACCCTTCCACTAGTGCATAAGACGACTGCGCATCTCAAAATTATGCGGCATCTTGGGTGTCACAATCAAGCATCGAGGGATCGTTTTACAGCCCTGAAGAAGTGGAAGAGGACATGAACGACAAAAGTTTTGTGCAGTCATACATTGTGATAATAAAACTTTACTCCTTCGCTTAACCATACACTCTTGACCACACCTGAAGGCAAGTGTATGCGTCCGAAGTGACTATGTCAGAGCTTCACAATACAAGCGCCTGAATGCCGCGAAATATCACTCCATGGGGACACACCCATCACCTCAAGGCAGAAGTCGAAGGCCTCTCTCCTTAATTCACTAACAGCTATCAAATATGACCCACTGTAAGATAAAGGGCGCTCACAATTCGCATCTCATTAAGTGTTAGAAAACGGAACCGCTCTTTTGAAAGCTAGTTGTCAACATCTCCCTCTCGCTCTCACTCGCTCTATTTAGTGACAGTATTTTGGTGCAACTAAAAGCACTTCCTGCGTTTACCAAATTAATCTGTTTTGCTAGGCCATAAATGCTGTGGAATTTGCAGTGGCATAGCTTTGATGCTTTTATTTCTGCAAAACTGGTCCCTTTAAAGTGCGTGAATTATTCTACCCAGGACACCAAATGAATCTACTCACAAACGACTTTAAAATTGTTTTTTGCTTTGAGTTGTCTACAGTCTAGAACATCTCTCCGCACTCCCATTCTCTTCCACCGAACTTGTTAGCGTCACTTTGTGCTCTCCGTCACCAACGCTGCCACGTCCATCTATTGCTAGTAGGCAGGTAGACAGACTTCTAACCCACAAAGTAGCAGAAGCACCATTTCATTGCGTGTTAACTGCCCTTGCCATCATCATCACCATCATCATCAAAAGTGACATTTTTTAGGCCGGTAGCAATTTTTCTCCCCTCTTAGCCTCATAAGGTAAACACCAAAGATGCGGAAATCGCTTTTGTTGATCCAAAAATCCTTACGCAACACCAGTCGATGCAAAGGTTTGTAGAGTTTCCGGTTTTGCCATAAAATTTGGTCCTGTTGAGCGTGGAGTTGCGTTAAAGCAATGAAAATTGTTCGACCTCCATTTGTGCCATTACAACTTCTCAACGCTTTTCATAGTGTGAAGGAGGAAAATTCTGGCCTATTCCTCTCATAAGGTAGGAATTGGTAAAGTTTACTATGTGGAAAATACAGACATGCCTTGGCAGTCCAAAATTATTTGCGTGATGCACTGATCGAGGAAGGTTGCGGTAGATCCACGATGGGAAGATCAAACCCACTCTCACCTCCACCTTCTGCTCTGCATGCACACCAAGTGGTACCTTTTCCCTCCTCCTCTCTCATGAGAGCATAAAACACATCAAGACTGACTAAAATCCATTTTTTACATTCTCATCACTCGTTGAGCGAATGTCCACCACCTCAAACAATCTCCCATAGCATTTGCCTAACTTTCCATGGTACGTGTCACTTTCTCTTGGAAAAAAATCCTTGCATTTTCACGGGTTAATCTTTAACCTCCTCATTTTCCAAACCCTGGGGTTTGTGGACAACATTTCTGCCCAACCACCTTTTGCTACTCGCAAGAAACATCAGAAGCTACCAAATAACTTTGTAAAGAAAACTTTGGTCTGCTTTTACAAGGCAGCAAAAGCCCTCATGCGCCGCATCAAAAGTGTTGCGCTCGAAATGGTGGGAACGGTCGTGCAATTATGCTAAAAGGATTAAGCAGACGCTTGTATTCCACCCAAGGCGCTATTCCTGGTAGCCATCATGGTCGTTCGCCTCCTTCACTCTCTCGCACTATACATTCGTGATGAAGAGAGAGAGAGAGGACGAGAAGTTTATGCGATTCATTGCCAGTGGTGCCTCGCATAGCGATAGCAGTTGAAAAGCATTGCTTCTGTGTTAAGCACTTAATGGACTGAAGGACACAAAATGCAGTGTGTAAATCAGAGTATTTTCGTACAACTGCATCACTTTCTCCCTTATTCTAAATCATTCTTTTCCATCACCAGACAGACAGCTGCGCCGGCTTTGTTTTGAAACTTACAGATGTGGTAAAGCATGGAACGACAAAGAGCGACCTTCTGAGGGGCGCTTTATTCCCACTCACGCACCTCCGCGTGAGCTGGATTAAGATGAAGCGATGAGATCGGTTTGTCTGAGGGCAATTTCTTCACCAGCCGACTATGAAAGAAATAATTTGTGTGGCATGATGATCTAAGTGGCAAGCCAAAAAGCTTGAAAAAAAGGAGTTTTGCATTAAGTAAATGTTTGGGTGATTTCAAATTCTTATAAATTAGTTGTTGTCAAACGAGATGCATAATTCATTGAAGGAGACACACCCGACTCTTGTGCCATCTCTGAAGTCGTGGTGCTTAACTTTTAAAATTGAAGCTAATTATTTAGCATTTTTTTTGCAAGCTCGTCGCGTTAGCACTTTAAATTTGCATTTTGTGTATCCATTTTGTCAGGTGCACTTTGGCTTCAGTTTTATAGGCATAGTGAAATATTTAACAAAGGACTTTAGAATCGCGAAGGTCAAGCACTAAGGCGGGGAGAAGGTTGTGAACTTTATGCGTGTACTCTTACGCACAGACTGGACTTGCAGGCTTCGACTAATTTTTTCCCGTTTATGATTGAAGTGATCGCTGGTGTCGTGATGCTTCTGCCAAACCACCACAACTTTACGGCTCACACACGAAGTGTCCACTCCGAGTGCCAGCAAGGAGCTTAAAACTTGAGGGATTCACTTTATGCTTCATCTCGGGAATGGTTCGACGTTGGTAATGGAACGTGAGATCCGCTTTAACGCGACAACTTAAGGAAGCGTTAGAGGAGGAGGAGGAGGAGGAGAATCTGCCGCTGAATCACCTTTCTCCACCACAGCTGCCATCTGGCGTGGGTGTGTCGTACGGTGTAGCAACTTATCAAAGTCATCGCAATGGCAATTGAGTTCGTGTGAGGAAGAAAAGCTTTACTTAAAAAGCAGATGATCATAAAATACGCCCCTATTGCTTCGCACTCCTCGTAGAGTGGATCTCCCACATGAAATCGCGTACTGAACTTCGAGAGGGCAAAGTGACACTACTCCGGTTGGTCGTCAGCACTCCTTGCCCTGAGCTGAAAATGGTCAACTTTTAAGGCAGTGATTTTGCCAAATAGATTAAGCAAATGCTTCCCTTGACTATCAAGTGGCATATTTCATGGCAAAAATCTGTCTTTTCATTCTCCATCATCCTATTTAAGGGGTTGAGTACGTCAGTCGCAACGAAATATGGGATCAGCCAAGACCTGTAAATTGCTCCACCGCTTTGACCGCTTTTGGGGTGATTTAAGTTGCATTCTTGACCCACTCACATAAAATCCGCTTACCTTCAGGCCATCATGCCTTTATTTTAAACATACTACTTATAAGAACACGAGTTATGGTTAGCTGGTTGCCCGAAATGTGGCATCCAGCCCCCAAACGGGATTATAAAATAATGGAGCGTAACAGGGATAGAAAATAGTAATTTTTACTCAAAGTAAGTGGTACTTGAACCCATTATAATTACACTCCTTTCGGCGCGATTAGGTGCTCGAAAAATGCCGCTTCTCTGTGTCCTACTCGACGAT